TCGTACAACTGTTGTCCAAGGCACATGCCCATTAGTTTACTACGAAAAAAGCTATTGCCATTTACGCAACTAGTATATTTTAGAAATTTAAACAACTTCATTTTGGAACGTACAAGAATCTTTCCTTCTTAAAACACTAAGCGTTATCGCTCAAATAATCAAATTTCCATTACCAACAAACACTGCCAGCTTCATGCCAGCTACATTTGAGCTTTCGAAAGGGCTACATTGCGATAAAATAATTTTTGAAAGTTTTCGTCCAGCAGCTCGTGTGCGTTTGTTGACATATCAGCTTTATGCTAATTTTACAGCGTGACAAAAATTTACCTCATTTTCGGGAGGAGGCGGGGGATGATGGCAAGTCCAGATTTACACAGAAAGTCGTAAAAAGTAAACGAAACAAAAGTAAGCGAAACGTAAAATTAATAGACAAAATTAAAAAAATCAATCACCTCGCTACGAAATTTCCCAATTTGTACAAAACTATAAGTTTGTTGATAATTTTATCACAATTTGACAACAGTGTTTATTGCATCTTTGTTTTATCTTGTGTAAATCTGGACTTGCCATCACCCCTTTTCCCAAAAAAATGATGTAAATTTTGTCAAGCTGTAAAATTAGCATAGAGAGCTGATATGTAAATAAACGCACACGCTGGATAATAGAAGTCAAAAACTTTCAAAAATTATTTTATCGTAATGTAGCCCTTTCAGAAGCTCAAATATAGCTGGCAGTATTTTTTGGTCATGGAAATTTGATTATTTGAGCGATAACGCGTAATGTTTTAAGAAGGAAATATTCTTTTACGTTCCGAAATGAAGTTTGTTTAAATTTTTAAAATATACTTGTTGCGTAAATGGCAATAACTTTTTTCGTAATAAACTAATGGGCATTTGCCTTGGACAACAGTTGTACGAAAGATTAAGCTTTCAAGCTATAGTAGTTTTTTTTCATTTAACATTCGAATATTGTCACAAACGAGGACTTTAAACATGGCCTCATCGTTTTGAGAAACATTTTGAAATGCTCAAATATCTCGAAAATTTAGGTTAAGATTTCATTCAAACTTCGTCGGTATGTCAATTATGTTATTAAGAAATGACTCTGAAAATTTTATTACAATCTCTGCGATGAGTTTTGAGAAAATTGACTTTGAAGAAAAATGAAGGTGTTTTTATTATGCATTGATTATCCAAGTAGATTCCATTTTTTGGCAAATTAATCTATAAATAAGAATTATCGATAATCACTAATACATATGTGAAAATGTGAGTGCAATCGATTCGAAATTTGCGACGAAGTGGAAGTTTAAACATACGCGCGAAACGCTATTTATTACGATCGAAACACCTGTAGTTGTTATATATCTTCTNTAATAAACAGCGTTTCGCGCGTATGTTTAAACTCCAACTTCGTCGCAAATTTCGATTCGATTGCACTCAAATTTCCACATATGTATTAGTGATTATCGATAATTCCTATTGATAAAATAATTTTCCAAAAAATCAAAGCTATTTGGATAATTGATGCAAAATAAAAACACCTTCATTTTTCTTTAAAGTTAATTTTCTCGAAACTCATCGCAGAGATTGTATTAAAATTTTCAGAGTCATTTCTTAATAATATAATTGACATACCGACGAAGTTTGAATGAAATCTTAACCTACATTTTCGAGATATTTGAGCATTTCAAAATGTTTCTCAAAACGATTAGGCCATAAGTCCTCGCTTGTGACAATATTCGAATGTTAAATGAAAAAAACTACTATAGCTTGAAAGCTTAATCTTTCGTACAACTGTTGTCCAAGGCACATGCCCATTAGTTTACTACGAAAAAAGTTATTGCCATTTACGCAACTAGTATATTTTAGAAATTTAAGCAACTTCATTTTGTAACGTATAAGAATCTTCCCTCCTTAAAACACTAAGCGTTATCGCTCAAATAATCAAATTTCCATCACCAACAAACACTTCCAGCTACATTTGAGCTTTCGAAAGGGCTACATTGCGATAAAATAATTTTTGAAAGTTTTCGTCCAGTAGCCCGTGTGCGTTTGTTGACATATCAGCTTTATGCTAATTTTACAGCGTGACAAAATTTACCTCATTTTCGGGAGGGGGCGTGGGGTGATGGCAAGTCCAGATCGCAAATTAATCTATAAATAAGAATTATCGATAATCGCTAATAAATATGTGAAAATTTGAGTGAAATCGAATCGAAATTTGCGACGTAGTTGGAGTTTAAACATACGCGCGAAACGCTATTTATTACGATCGAAACACCTCTAGTTGTTATATCACTTCTGGATCCCATGATTATAGTTTATCCTTTCCGTAACCAGTTCCTTACAGTAGTTATCTTTCTAAAATATTAGACTGCTATTATTGTTGTTGTTGTTATTGTGAACCTTGTAGCACTTCGGTCTCAGTATTCAATGTTCTCGGATATTATTGAAACCTTCAACGTTTTTGACAACTGGGGGTCAAAATGACAGCTTTCCTCTAGAGCAGAAGATAATGATTTTCTACTATATATTCATAAGTGTT